TCACAGCCCAGTAAAAAACGTATTATGAACCATTTGTGCGATTTAATTTATTTCCGATTTTATTTTCTAACTCTGACCTATCTCTGACAGAGATAGAAGGGAAAGTTAAATTGGAACAACGTTTTCTAATTTAGTACCTACGTATTACAAAATTTCTAGGGACGAAAAACCTTTTTTTAATTTTTGACGATTTTTTAAAAATGCGTAAACCTACGATACCAATTTTATCATTTTATGGGTTTATGTGAAAAGCTGTCGAAACTAGAAAAGTACCCTCAAAGGCCACTTTTGTTTTGCTCCCCTTGAAAAAGGACTTTTATTGCAACGTTTTGACTTTCAGCAGCGATAACCCGTTTAATTTATTTTAGACACAAGGCTGTCGATATTTCTATGTAATACTTATTTTTTTCCGAGTCCAATGATGTATATATAATATGTTACTGTTCACTGACGTTTCGGACTGGAAAGCTCATCGTCATTGTTACTTTTATCGTTGATGTCAGTTTTTCATTTTTTTTAACTTACAATATACAGGGTGTCTCGGGCCTTGATACAAAAAAGTCGAGTGAAAAATTAAAAATTAAAAATGGTGGAGGCGCCGCTTTGGACATAAAATCACAAATATTTCCTAAACTGTTAATTTTACCGAGTTGAACCAAGAGGGTATGGATGTATGTATGTCGGAGGGTGGTGGAATTGTTTTTCCATCGCGGCACTTAAGCCTTATTAGGCCCCTTGTACACCCTCCTTCATTACTCGACTACTTTTCTTCAAACCATCCTATTTACTACACGGGTGGCTTGGTGGCAAAGTCTCTTACAGTTCATGTATGATAGCATGGTCTTGAGTTACAGAGATTTTATTTGCTCTGTTCTCATTACCATTTATCGGGGACCACACGAATGCGGAAAATGTTGAGCGACCCAGGTCTCTGGTAGGCTGCCACAGCCACGTCCCCGAGCCTGCCTTAGGTCACCCATCCAAATTCCAGTCTGCGTCCGTGATGCTTACCTTTGACGGCCCGTAACTTGTTAACGAAGGCCCGTATAAAAAAATTTATATGAAGAACTGATATTATTTTGAGCTCATCTATTTATGCTCGACTTTTTTGTATCAAGTACTGGGACACCCTATATACATTTTTAAAAACTTTCATAAATTTGCTAAAAATTAAATATCAATATCTCAAATAAAATTTTTTGGATGCTGTTATATATTTTTTTTGTAGTTGTTTTTCAGAAACCTTCCTAAATTAACCAAAATACCAAATAACAAAACTTAACGAAACTAAAATTGATAATACGAGTAGAATAAAAGCTACAAAAATTGAGGAAAATATACCAAGTAGTTCCAATACCCCTAAATATTCTCGTTAAGATGTTATTTGTTCATATTTTACAAATTGATGAAATATCTCTAATAACACTAAAAAAAAAAGGAATATAATGTGAAAATATTAATGCAACTGATCATGATGCTGAAAGACAAAACGTCGCAATAAAAATCTTATGTCATATTCGCACATAGGGCGAAAATGGCATTTCTATAGTAATTCGCATAGGCTTCCAAATAAATCTAAAAAATGATAAAACAGAAATCTGAAAGTCGGCATTTTTAAAAAATCATAAAAGCTAACAAAGACATTTTCGATATCTCATCCATAAATTAATATACACCAGTCAATTCTAATTTAACGATCTCTTCTATACTAGGCACTTTAAGAAGTAGCAATGTTGTCACATCATTCTTATCCAATTTTAAGCAACCTGTATAGCAACAAATGTTATCGACCTATATATGAAATTAAAGCTCTTTCTGTGACCTATTCGATGCCATAATACAGGTTGTCAAGGGAAAAATCCGCCCGAGATATAAGTTTTCAACAGCCGCCTGATTTTTTAATTTAAGTAAGCAATTGGCTCAGAAGGCCTTGAAAACACAACACGTTGATACGATATCTGAAAAATTATAGGATATACAGGCTTGGCGAGTTTTGAGTGGCGGACCCTCTATAATGGCTACGAGACTTCAAAATAAATTAGCGCGCATTTATTTGTTAGTGTTATCGCTTGTTATTTCCAGTCTCGCTTCAAAATATTAGCTTACATCTGATTAAATTACTTTATCCTTTATTAAAATAAAACTCTTTGGAAATGACAACCTTACCTCTAAAAAAGCAGGTATTTTGACAACGGAAGCAGAGATGTTTTTACTTTATTGGAAGTTACCACCTTTTATCCTTGACTATAAAATAACAACACTAATTGCTCCCTTTGGCCTTTTGGTAAAAGCTTTCTTGTTTTATTTTTATTGTCTCCAGAACTGGAAGAGTCGGTACTCGGGCAAATATTTGTTTACAGTATTTTAATTATCTCGGTGAAAATCACGAATCTAAATAAAGCTTCAGACAATTGAATTAATGTCAGTGTTTCAAATACGTTCCATGTAATATAAATAAAACAGCCATTAAAGGCAAATTTAACAATTTGCGAATATTAATTGCAACTACATAATTTGTAAACAGGTATGTGAGAAAATGTCATTCTTTATAAAAATTCCTGCTTGTCCCCAAACTCTCATAAATGTTTTTTGATTTCATATGAAGGCTGTTAAATTTTTTAAAAAATTTACCTTTTTAGTAGTGACGTCACATACGGCAAATAATAGGCAACCCCATAGTGCATATTGTCATGAAGATGTTCTTAATATTTTTACTAGATCGATTTTCGACCTTATGTACTTGGACATAAATGCCAAAAAAATGTTTTCTTTGTCAGGACCTTAATATTCTGGCAATATTAGAAATATTTAAGAAGCTTCAAACCACAAGTGACGAACTAAAAGAATTATATAATTTATGTATTTAAAATAGAACAATATTGACTTTTACAGTAATTAATAAATTAAAATTATATCGATGTTACTGCGCATGCGCATTAAAGATAATTTCTTGTAAGCGAAGTAGCCTCGCAACAGGATTTCATTCACGAAATGTTTGGTTATGGTTAAGAATACGTCTATAATAAACCACTTGAAGAAAAAACACTCGAGAAACACACTGACCCAGCACAACACCAAGAAAAACAGTAAAAACACTACTTAGTAGAGTTAGAAAATGTCAAGATTCAACAAAAAAACAGAAAATACGCTAATGATGACAGCGATGACAAGATCTCACCTGCGTATGAGGCTATTCTTTCCGATCATGCGCATTAGGGCTAATGTTAAATTTTTACTTTATTTAAATATAGAATTCTAGATCCTCGTAAATTTGAAGTTGTTCATTTTTATACCCTAATGCAAACAATTAAAGGGCCAAAAGAATTTCCGAAATTTTTCCGTGATTTTTGACAGACTGTAGTTAGGTGAAAAATGGTCGTATCGGGAATTTAAAAAAAGCATTTTGAAGCTCTAAAATTCGTTTTTAAAAAAAAATTTTTTTGACCCTTTAATTGTTTGCATTAGTGTAGTATCTATGTAAATAGTACACAAGGGTCAGATTCGGTCTGTACAATTTCAACTATGACAATTTGTTACGAGTTGCCTAAATATGTGACATCACAATAAAAGAGTCTTTTAAGAAGTGATCACTGGCAAAATACCCATTTTTTTTTAAATATGTCAATAAGAGATATTGTTACTAATTGCAGGAAGGTTGTAAATATGAAGTTTCAATTGTTTTATAAATAAAATCGTTACCTTATTTCATATCACTTAGCTAGCTTAAACCCACTTATGATTCTAGTAATTACATCAGAAACTGCTTAACGAATGATAATAATTAATAAAAATCCATTGAATTCAGATATATTTCTAGGAAATCGTAAAACTTTACCGAATTTTTCTGTTCCATTGTTAGATTTTATGTATTGTATTTTGAGTTATCTTAATTATGAAATCCTGCTTTGTTATTATAACACTGCAAAAAATATTGTCTTCTTAATGTTCCTTGCAGGATGTTGGGATTTTGGAAAACACCCAGAATTCTGAGATTACAATATCAAGTAAGATTTCAAAATTCAGAATAAGTAAACGATATACATATATGTATTAATAAAGCAATACAAAAATGCAGTAAAATTTTATCAGCAGCCCTGATCTGAATTCATTGGATTTTAATTACCATTTGTTTCTGGCTCAATTACGGGAATCATAAATGTGTTACTAATATAACATGAGGTAATTATTATTTTTTTGACGAAACAATTGAAACGTTACATTTACGACCTACTTAGATTTCTTAACAATATATCTCTTAGTGACACTTTCCGATATTTCAAAACATTTGAGTACTTTGCCTGTGATCGCGATTAAATTTTTCAAAATATTTAACACCCTGTATATAAAACCAAGAATGTAGTATATATTTGTTTATATTGGAGCAGGTACTTATGTTATGAGTAAATATGATATAAACATTTATAATCATCCAAAATGTTAACCCTACCAGCGGTACGTTTTTTCAGATCGTTGATTACGAATCAATAAAAAAATTTCAATCCTTGTACACTCAACGCAGAAAAAAATTTTCAGTGGTAATTTTTCTCCCGGTATCGGTATTAAATCAGTTTTCATTATAAAAATTGCAAAACTGAATGTTTCACTGCCATTATTATTGGTTCTTCAGCCATTTCATGACTGGAATTGATTATTTGGATTCTGAGAATAATTAGAATTCATTTTATATGGTTATATATGATATAATTAATAATATAATTAACATCGAAAAAAAAAACGGATAAAAGCAAAATGTCTGTCACAAAATTATAATTTCCTTGCTCCTATCAAAATCTTGCATATGGAAGACTTGACACCATTTTTTTTTTGGTTATTTGATAATTAATATCAACAAAGGTTACTAACCTTTAAGCAATAAACAGAACTTTTATAATTATCTTAACTTGCTGACAGCTACACCAGCTACCAGAGATAGATAAAATTAATTATCAAAAAGCAGATATCAAGGCGAATAAGGCTTATTGTTTAAAAATTTTACTTACAATGTTTACATAAAATCGGAGTTAAGAAGTATTCGTCTTCTAACTTATGCTCAGGTGTCTTCGTTTCTCCTTCTGGAACAAAAAATATATTAATTTAAAAAATATTCAATTGCATTGGTCTTCATGAAGATATAATAATAAATATATACACTAATATGTTTCTCAGATAGAATTCATTATTTGTCACCGATTTTCCATAAATACAAATTATTTCCCAACAAAAACCAAGAGTAATTCTTCAATTCTACTTGCCAATTTTCCGGTACAACTATACAGGGTGTCATAAAGAGTGGAGTGATGCCCGTACAGCATTTTGTTGACATTCACCGTAGATTAACCAGATATCGAACTATTCATTATAGCCATGCTATAGATAGCTATTTGTAAATATCACAAACTTAAACATTGATACAGTTCGTTAACACGCAGAGTTCTGATAAAGCTTTTTTCAAAAATTATTTATTTAAATCCCCACCAACGAGGCCAGTTAACTAAAAAGAAATCCCCACTTTCAATATATTATACTGTACTTTCGGATTTTTTGTAATATTTAATTACAAACAACATAAATTATCACGGTAAACAATAACTGTAGTTTTCTAAGATATTTTAGCTACACTGGAACTTATAATACACGGATATAATAGAATAATTGACATGCCGATTTGTTATGTGTAATTTTGTGCAAATTATTCTAATTTATATTCAAGTCATAAATGTTGTGCAAGTAATTTGACACTTAATATTTCATAAGTAAATAAATAAGGATACCATTAATTCCGTTTTTCACTGCTTCGAATTTAAAATTATAAACCAGTTTTACATTTAGCAATTTTTTTAAATATTTAAATACATATCTTTGTTATTGCAGCTGCGTTAGCTTGGCAAAGTTACATGTCTACGATTTACTGTTATCATGACTCATGTTTATTATGTCGCGGCTGATTCCTAACCTCAAAAATTCGTATGTAAATCGCTGGAATTACACGTTGTTGTGTTAGAAACATAGGAACGTGGAATCGTGGAATTGAGAGAAACCTTTTCGCAATATATTCTCTTCCATTCTGCTCCAACCTGAACTTTTTTGGTCCGCTGGATCAAAACTGAATAAGGTTACGATCAAAATCGCCACACAAACATTAACAACGACACGTTTACACCCCGATGACGCAGAAATGGTTATATAGATTAATTTTCGGATAAACAAAAATCCATTAACTTTTTCACAATTAACAAAATTCCCAGGGAAAAAATAATTTTAAAAAATTTCATGAAATACCAAAGTAGCAAATATTTTTGTTCGAAATACAAATAACCAAATATATTTGGTATATTTTTGAATGAATTTGCCATAACGGTTAAAACAGTCCTGTCATTCATACAAGCATAAAAAATTCTGTTGTGAGTGGAACAATGCTTCAAGTTTTACATAATTTAATCATAATATTGATTCATTGATGAATCAGTATACAGAGTGTAACAGAAATAAACTTTTCAAAATAAGAAAGAAGTGCTGTAGGCATTTTCCAATGCAGGATATTTTCATGGAACTTCATCACAGATTTTTTACAAGACTATTTTGTGCAAAATGATACGAAATATATTCATTTTTAATAAAGGCTGACTGGCAAGTAAATTTATATTATAAAAATATAAAACAAAATTTCAAATATTTTTAAATAAAAACAAAAATAAGGTAAAGAGGACTTCCAGACTTGATATTTTTCACTATTGGTGGGAGAAATTTGACTTGATACGAAAATGAGGAAATCAAAGAGCATATTTATATAAAAAATAACAAAACTTATAAATTGCGCAAATGTATCTCACAGAAATATTAAATCCATAAATCTATAAAAAACAACATATCGTCTATTATCTCATATGTTCCCTTTATTATAGGGATATTAAAGCTACTTCAAAAATATTCAAAAATTTTTTCCGAAAAAAACTTATCACAGAAATTCAAGCAATGTTCTTCGATACCGGAAATCAAGGTATGCAAATGATATCTAATCCCACAACTGTTGATATTGGGGAATCTGGTCTGCGGGGTTAAATATTTGTCGCATACCTTGATTTCTGGTATCGAAGAACATTGTTTCACTTCATTTGATAAGGTACTTTAGAGATAAATAGAAAAAAATTTTGAACTTATCTGAATTAGCTTAATACCTAATAATACCTTTAATGTAATAAGACCTTAATTTAATATAATACCTTTATGATAAAGTAGAAATAAGAGAGCTAATAATAGAATATACAAGGTGATTCATAAATGGTGACCAAAAATGAACCTCGTAAAAAGATGGGGTGGGGTGTTAAACTTCAAAAAATTTTTTTAATTTTTTTAAATAATTTAAAAACTAGTAAGTGAAATAATTTTAAATTGGGCACATGAATTTATATAAACATTGTCCAAAATCTGAGGACATATTTTTCTAAATAAAATAGTACGCCACTGCTTTACGGTAACAACCATGATATTTTCGGATTCGTCTTTCAATTTTCTATAAATTACTACTCTCTTATGTTTTTCGAAAAAAGCCTGATTTTCTTCTCCAGATCTTCAAATTTTGTGTGGACAGAAACAAAATATAACAAAAACGTGTACCCTCAAATAGTCCGTAAACCGTGTTCCTGCTATTTTATTTTTTTTAATGCATGTTAATTTAAACACATCTTTTTTTAGTAGTACCATGACTAATAATAATGTTCAACGTCTCAATAAAACATAGGATTTTAACCGTGCTTTTATTATTCATAAATCCATATTAATAGAAAGATATAAACTGAGTGGATTAATATCAGAATATAAACGTCGATTCAACATTTTATTAAATATACGTATTAGTCACGGATCAGATCTGTAATTTGGTGTTAAATATGGAGATATCAGACTTTCTACCCTTAAAGTTACTTTTAAAAAAGAATCAGCAACACGATATATTAAAAATAGAATCATGTTGAACAGTTTTTGTTAACATCACGTAAGTACTAATTTTTTCTTAATTAAAATGCCAATTAACATTTACCGATTACATATAACAATAACAGGAATTAATAATAATAATAAATGCAATAACTAAATTCGCTAAATTACACTATGACATTTATATGGATCTATTATTGTACAATCCGTATCATTTTTTTTTTGGACGTTTTAAAATTTGGCCTTGCTCACCGTTTGTTTAAAAAGTAATACAAAACGACAAAAACAAAACGTAATTTTATACAGAGTTAATTAAGGAGTTAATTTATTAATATTTATGGAGTTAGGCCGAAAATTCTTCTCGATTTGTACCGTTTAAATTCTCTAAAATTTTGGCACACTGTTCAAGGTTTTTTATGTAACTTTAAAAATGGACAAAAAGACAATGAAATCCTCGTGCTGGACTTTTTGTCACACTTTTGCTGAATTTTTGATAAATAACCTATTTTGACTAAAACTGAAAATTCAGCATAAAATAATGTTAAAGTATTAAACGGAAACGCTGTAATTTTGTCTAATTTCCAGGGCAGTATTTAATAATTTTTTAATAATATGTAAAGGGGAGTAGACATTTTTAATGATCAGGGCGAGATTTTTTATTAGTTATATGTTCTTACATTCCCTGTTTTGACCAAACGTTTTGAAATTAACGTTCCGAGTGATATTTTACATTTTTTAACTATAGAATATTCTACTATGAGAACAATGTCATAACTCCACGTTTATATTAAAAATTTCAAATAGATACTGTTATATAAAAATCGCATAGTACCATTTTAAAATTTCCTAACATGGCACTTATCGTAAAGTAAGGTAAGCTAAATTTGATGCCACCTCAGATAAATACGTTTATGATTATTAAGTTTAACCAACCTAATAACATTAAATACATTTCCTATGGTTTTGTCTGATGCAACAGTTTTATAAATATTCAACCTTTACTTGTATATGCGCTAGGTTTGTTGTATTGAATGGCTTGAAGATATCACAAATTCATCCGGAAATGATTAAAATTGTCTAAACAATAGTCAAAATACGCTAAAATTCCATATAACAAAAACGGGTGATTTGATATAAATAAATAAATAAATAACCTTTATTTTCCTTAAAGACTTTACAGTAAAGTATGGGAATAGTCAATAATACAAAAAAGGGAAGATAAAAGCCATAAATTCTTATAACTACTAAAAGAATTCAGTAATGATATACATTTGTCAATTAAATAATATTTTAAGTTGAATTTAAACCCACCGAGATTCTCAATCATTTTTATTTCCAAGGGCAAGTTATTATTATATACTTTTCACGTTTAAAGATTTCCATCACAGGATGTTTTCGAAAGTGGGGTTTTAATTTATATTATAGCTGATAGTAAAATAGTGCATTTTACAAAAAATTATTCTTAGAAAATTTTTATTATAAAACATACATTTTTCGGTCGCACTAAATGACGTCACAATACGTCGTTGACCACGTGACAAAATTTTAATTTTTACATGATTTGAAATCTATTTAATGAATTTGTGGCATTAAAGAAATTATTATTTTTTTCACGCAGGTGCTAGGATTCGTTTTCGTGTGGAAGTGCATATTAGCACAATATTGAAAATGAAAATTCCACAAAATGTGTTCGTAACCAATAAGGCAATGATCATGGAAAATCCCCATAAAAACAAATTTCTAACATAGATCTTCAATTAACTTATGGGCGGACATTGATGTCCTAATTGGACCTATCCTTCTCCCATGAAGATTATTAATTGGTCCCCATGTTTTTTACAAAAGATTTATCTGTTCTTTTGAAGAATATACCACTTAATGTTCGACAATGTAGTTTTTGCAAGATGGTGCTTCACCACACTTCTGACGTTACACATTACTTAGTAGATGGATTGAGTGCAATGGACCTGGTTTATGGTGCGCCCGATTGCACGACCTAAATCAACCCGATTTTTACCTGTGGGGACATATGAAGTCTTTGGTTAACAAAACAGAAGTCAGATGGTTGAAGAGTTATGTTGTGTGTAAAAAACTCGTATAAGAAGCAATTCCTTATCAAAAAACATTACCAACATGATAT